ATCTATTTTCTGATTGTTGTGAGAATTTAATAAAATAATCAGTGCACAGGCTTAATACAGTGCCTGACACGTTAAACACGTTGAACACTAGGTATTTATCGTGACCCATGACTCCATCTCTCCCTTCTTTGTGTGCTGTAAGGCAGACGTATGAGTGGCCATCATGTGTACTGTCTTGCCCCCACCCATCCCTGAGAGTGGCTGGTCAGTGTTGTTTCACAGACAGACTCTGCCAGCTGCCCTCAGTGCTGCACTGCGAAGTCCATCCTTGTGAGTGGTGTGTTACAGAAAGCTTGCATGTGTGCTGGCACATTTGTAATCAGAGTTTCTTAACCTGAGCCCAAGTGAGCCTAGTGCCTCTGAAGCTCAGAACGATGCGTAGAAAGTGTCTTGTGTGTGTGGATGTCCTTTTTTTCTTTTTTCTTTTTTTAAGGGGAGAGATCAAATTCATAACTCTATCAGTCTTAGAGGCATCCGCACCCTATGAAAAGGTCAAGAACTCTACTTTGGATGTTCAGGACTTCCTATAATGCCATTTGAGAAATTATAAATCTAACCCCTTCTAGAGAGTGAGACTTGTGTTTGAATATTTTTAAAGATATATATTTTTAAAGATATATAAGTAAATTTTAAGAATAGAATTGAGATTTTAAATGGACAAGCTCAAATATAAGTGAAATGGTTTCTTCCTCTCACCCATGTTGTCAAAGTTCTGAAGAGCAAGGAAAAGTAAAGCGTGCAGGCTCTGAGAGTAGACTCTGGTGCCTGCACGGCACTGCTACTTACTAGTGAGGCATTGGGCCAGCTGCTTTGCTTCTCATGTCTGTCAAATGGGAACAATAAGGTCATAACAGGACTGTTGAGTGGAGTGCTGGTTAAAAAGCTCCCCCTGGCACTTAGTGAGCGCTGCCATCAATTCAGTTGCACATTCACCCAGCAGACATTTATGGTATTTTCAAATCAGTTCCCTTTTATGAATTGTATAGGTGAATATCTTGTTGTCTGTTTATCCTACTCGTTATCAACATGTGAACAACTGTAAATACTTATTTCCTTTTTTTAATATTTTTTTTAGGTGTAGTTGGACGCAGCACCTTTATTTTATTTATTTTATTTTTTTGTGGTGCTGAGGATCGAACCCATGCTTCACACGTGGTAGATAAGCGCTCTACTGCTGAGCCACAACCCCAGCCCCGGAAAATACTTATTTCTTCTGATCAAACTTTCATATGAGTGGTCATCACGTGTACTGTCTTGCCCCACCCATCCCTGAGAGTGAGAGTGGCTGGCCAGTGTTGTTTCACAGACAGATTCTGCCGGCTGCCTTCAGGGCTGCAGTGAATTGCTGTGAGTCAGAGAGCCTTCGCAATTGAGAATCTTAAGTACACGGGGGCCTTAGAATCATGCTGAAAACTTGGGAAGCATAAACAGGAGTAAAAAGAAGCCAACAGAGTTTCCCTGTAGGAGCTTTCAAGTTGAAACATCAAACATCATCTTGGAATTTCTGAGCTGAAAAGCATTTCGGGGATCTTCCCCATCTGACCTTCGCAGCATGAGGATGAGAAAGCTCAGCACAGCCAGAGAACAGCTCGGAGTCACCCTGGGCCTAAAGGTGGCATTCTTGCTTCCTGCCTATCTACCACTATAATTTCAAGAGAGAAAAAAGCCCCCTGTGGAGTTCAAGTAGGAGCAGCCATTCCAGAACAAGCATGTAGTAATGAGAAGACTATTCCGTGGAGCAGAGACCCATACTGGGAAAAAGAAAGACATTAGGAGCAGGAGGAAAGATGTAGAGGAGGTCCCTAGGAACCAGTTAACTGATTAACTTGTGCTTAGCAGAAGAGAATACCTGTTGGCACTGAACTCACTGCCCACCAAGCACATGCACGCTATGATGTGACAGTGCAGCAGGGCTGGAGAACCCTATTCCCTTTACAAGATTTATTACAGGGCCTCTTCTTGTAAGAGTATCTTGCCTCACTGCTAATGACTTGAGCATCTAAGAATATGCATTTTCTCTCTTATCCTGACTCCTAAACTCAAAACAGCCATTTTCTCTGATAAACATCTGAACAAAAAGCTGTCTCTTCCTTCAAGG